ACCTGGATAATCAAAGACATTCATTTCACTTCACCCCCAGAAGAATTTTACTTTGAACCACTGAAGAGAGTTGAAAGTGGCCATGGTAAGTAAGTTTAGAAGCAGAAAATAGGCAGCATTTCATTTCAGTGATCATATCACCATCACATTTCTACAGCTGGCCCATCTTGTCACCCTTCTGGGAGTCCTGAAACATTTCCTGGGGCTCTTTCTTGCCTTCTCCAAATAGTGGCTGTGATAAACTCTGAAAAATTGAAGACAGAATATGATTTTTACAAGTGCATCTACTCTTGAGAACCTTCATCAAGCAATAGCAATAATGTCCTTTTCATATATTGCCATTTGTGTTTTCCTGATGGCTCTTAAATTAACCACCTTTTGCATTCATTTATATGCAAATACTTACAGTTAAAATAACAAAATATTTGAAAATATATTTCTATTCACCATATTTAAAAAATATAGAAGAAGCTGGGCACTGGTGGCTCACACCTGAAATCCTAGCTACTCAGGAAGCTGAGATCTGAGGGTTGTAGTTCGAAGCCAGCCTGGGAAGGAGAGTCTGTGAGACTCTGATCTACAATTAACCACCAGAAAACCAGAAGTGGCTTTGTAGCGCCAGTGGTAGAGTGCTGGCCTTGAGCTGAAGAGCTCAGGGACAGTGCCCAGGCCCAGAATTCAAGTCCCATGACCAACAAAAAAATACACAGACATACACACACATACACACAGAAGAAAAACTGCCTAGTCATATCTGCAGATTTACAAAAAGCATTCTGTAAATTTCAATACCCATTTACTTAAAAACAAAACAAATGGCCCTATAAATTAGTGATAAAAGGAATTTTCTCTCTCTCTTTGTTCTTTTCCCCCAGACCTGGGGCTTAAACTCAGGGTACTGTCCCTGAGCTTCTTTTGCTGAAAGCTAGCATGCTACCACTTGAACCACAGCACCACTTCTACCTTTTTCTGTTTATGTGGTACTGAGGAATTGAACCCAGGGCTTTATGCATTCAAAACAAGCACTCTACCATTAAGCCACATTCCCAGGCCAGGAATTTTTTTAATATATATTTTTATTGTAAAGATATGGTACAGAGGGGTTACAGTTACATGAATAAGGTAATGAGTTCATTTCCTATTGACTGTTGTTACCTCCTCCTTTGTTTTTACCCTACCATCCCTTCCCTCCCTACCTCTCCAACTTCTCCCACCTCCCAAATTGTAAAGTTCATTTTCAACAGTGTCTTGTACATCTCATTGTTACAATGAGTCAACCGTATCCTTACCTCAGCATTTTGTTATTTCCCTTCCCTTCCCCAAATTAGAAAAATGTATATACAAGATGTAGCAGCCCAGGAATTTCTTAAAGATGTAACTTTATAGCACATAACACACTAGTAAAAATAGTCAAGATATGTTTTTTGAAAATTCCCTTTGACATCAAGTATAAAATAAAGATAGGATCTCCATTTTATTCAACATTGTATTAGTGGATGTTCTGCACAAGATGGTATTTGAAGATAGCCTGATTATGTACAGAAAAAAATCACAGAAAATGTACCAAAAATCTAGCATAGTCACAGATTCTAGTCAGAATTCAAACAAAATCATTATTTCTGTGTTAGCGGTGAGTAGGAAAAAAGGTTATTAAAAGTACAATTTATAACACATCAAATGTTCAGGGTTAAAATAACATGTCAGATCTGTAAATTTTTTTGCTGAGAGTTTAAATGCAAACCTAAATAAATGGAGAACCATAACCTTTTATGAGTTAGGAAACTCATAATACTATATATGTATATATATATACATATATACATGTATATATATATATATATAAAACCTCAAATTTTTTTGGTAAAAATTGAGAAACTCAATTCTGACACACACATCAGATGAGTGGGATGTAGAATGGCCCACACTGTTGTGGAGGAAAAAAGAGCACAGTTAGAGGACAGATGCATACTTAACAGGTACAAAGCTCTGGGTTCATTCTCCATCACCCAAAAGGCTGAAGTATTTACTGTGCTTGATGTAATCAAGACAGTGTTGTATTATAGCTGTTAAGGCTATAGAACATACTTAAATGATAAGTTCAGTAGAACATTCAAGAGTAGACCCACACATCAATACTTGCCTCATCTTAAATAAAAAGTGTCTAGGTCATCTGGCTGAGAAAAGCCCCTTAACTTAGTAGATTATCTGTTTAGTTGAGAAAAGACCAACAAATTGTGCTTAGAACAACTGACTTTCCCCCCCACAGTACTGGAAATTAGAGCGCAGACCTTGCACATGCTAGCTAGGCAAGTACTATCATTTCACTGAAGCCACACCATGCCTCCATATTCCCACCCCTTCGCCCTTTTCATTTTTGTATTTGGACTTTTTTTCTGATAGGGTCTTGTTAACTTTGGCTAATCTGACTTCCAACTCATAATTCTCCTGCCTCCCAAGTAGTTTGAATTATAGGCATGTAGCAACCGTATATTCTTAAGGGAAAAACATGGAAACGTGAATTTCAACCTAATACTATCTTTTTTTTTTCTTTTCTTTTTTTTGTGGTGCTGGAGTCCATTCTTCATATTCAAGGGCTCCTTCCTTCATGACAAGCACTCTGACTTTCACTCCTTGAGAAAGTGTTTTGAAAGCATTTTATTAGCAGATAATTTAATAGGCATCTAGAAATATCAGTGCTCTGAAATAAATTTTTACCAATGTTGATATTGTCCAACACAGTAAAGTTATGTTTTAAGAATGCCTCTTTAAGTTACATGAAAGCTACATCCCCAGCCCCATTATGAATATGCCATAGAAAAGAATCATATATCTATATGTAAAACAAAAATTTATAAAACTTAGTAGAAAAATATAGAAGTCTTTCAGCCTCCAATCAGGCAAAATATCATTAATTATGACACAAGCAAAAACTATGAAGTGAAATAATAAACTTCATCAAAATTACAGATTGTTAGCTAGGTCTGAAAGTATGTACCAATAGTCCCTATAGCTAACAGAAGACAGGAAGATCACTTGAGCCCAGGATTTCAAGGCCATTCTGGGCAAGCATAGTTATAACTTCTTAGAAGCTACAGATTTTAGTTCTTCAAAGCTACAGCGTTTAAGGTGAAAGTCAAGTCACATACTTAGAACCTATCTGTAAAATACATGTTCAGTATATGAAATACATATATAACAAAGGACTTTTGTTGAAGATAGATGTTCTATATTCATAGCTCTATCTCATACATATAGAGAGAGGATTTGTAAGATAAACAATTAGCACTTTATCCAATAAGATATATGGATAGCAAACAAGTACATGAAATGATACTCAATAATAACCATTAGGAAATGTGAATGGAAAACAATGAAATATGTGAAATGCCACTACACTAGTAGAGATGCCACTGCTAGAACAGCAACATGAAGGGGCCTGGTATACTAAGTGTTGATGAGGATGGGTTTTAACAAGGACCTGTTTACATGGCTAGTGGAAATGTAAAATTGGCACTATCACTTAAGAAAAAAGTTCTGGGGTTGAGTAAGTAGCTCAGTAGCATGTTTACCTAGAATTTGCAAGATCCTAGCTTCGATCACACATTTATGAATGTTCATAGATGCCTTTTTATAATGGTCAAAAACTAAAAATAATATGCACCAGAATCTAGACAGATACACTAATTGTATTGTGTCCATTGAATGGAATAGTACTCCGCAATAAAAGTGTTGACACACACCTACATGAATGAATGAATCTTAAAATGCCAAATAAAAGAAATCATGCAAGGAGTATATATGGTAAGATTCCATTCTAAAAAATGCAAACTAAGCTTTGGAATATATATCATCTTTATTGTGGTGTTAGTTTGATCGTGTTTAGAGATGTATTCATCAGATATATATTTTTTACATATATACAATCAGCCTGGTGCATTGGCTCACATCAACCAATAATCCTAACTACTCAGCAGGCTGAAATCTGAGGATCAGCGTTCAAAGCAAGCTGGGGCAGACAAAACTACAAACAGACAAAACCATGAAACTCATCTCCAATTAACCGTCAGAGAACTGGAAGTGGATTACGGCTTAAGTGGTAGAAAGCCAGCCTCTGAGTAGGAGTGTGAGGCCCTGAGTTCAAGCCCCTGTACTGGTGCACGCACACTCACACACACACCATACACACAGTCTACCTCATTAAAACTCTCAAGTCAAAAAAACTACCGTCAATGTTTTAGGTAACTCACCAATCTTCAGTTTCCTCATCAGTGAAAATAATACCTCCCTCAGGATTTATTTGGAGATTTATACACCCATCTAAAGGTTACCTCTATATCACCTTTTTTTCTTGCTAGGCCTTACTTTTTTGTAAAGCAGTTGCAACTAGTAATGTATTATGTTTACTTGTTTACCTCCCCCCACTATACTGTAAGTTCCTAGAGAACAGGGGCTTTGGTCTTATTAACTATTAACCCACTCAAATGCTCAGAACAATAACTGGCAAATAGTAAGCATTCAATATACATTATAAAATGATTGTGCATGAATGAGTATGAGATTGTATGTGCACACATCTGAGTGTTTCAACTTTGCTACCTGACAGAACATGTGACTCAGTTCATGTTCATTCTAACACCATCCACTTATCTCTTCCATGGCACTGAAGAAGTTGTAGGGTAATTTTACCAGATTGTTTTCCTTCTGTACTGAACAAAAGTTTTGGTAATGCTCTTTTTTTGCCTTTTTAATGGCTACATATATTTGACAAATGCTCAGGTGCAGGAATGGATTGATTCTGAAGTCCCAACTACTTAGGAGTCAGAAGGACTATTTAGACCCAAGAGGGTATTTTTTTAATTAATATATTTGTGTGACATACATATGTATCAAATTGAAGAATTTTATACTAATGACTTTTCCTTTTCACAAAGGCAATGACTTCAATACTAACCATGGCATAACTGGAAAATTTTTAATATTGCTTTTCTTTTTCCCCACAGGGTATACCCCTGGCTTAGAGGGCTGGGTTATACGTCGTTGGGTATATTTTTATTGGGATTTTTACTTTGGAACATAGATAACATCTTTTGTTATTCATTGAGGTAAGATACATTTCACTCCTTGAGAAATTGTTTGGAAAGCATTTTATTAGTAGAGGATTTAATAGGTATATAGAAATACCAGTGCTCTGAAATAAATTTTTACCAATGTTGATATTGTACAACACAATAAAGTTATATTTTAAGAATAATTGTTTAAATTACATGAAAATTTGAATCTTAGAGTATTTGATAACTTCTGTAGGCTTCAGGTGTTTTGTGTGTATACATCATAGAACTGTAGTCAATCAGATGTTTATTACATCTTTGAGACCTGCCTGATATGTTTTACTGAATTAAAACTGATTTGTAAAAAGCATATGAAATGCATATACATAAACTTGGACTTTCATATAGTTAATTTTATTTTCTAAGAAAGGTAAGTTCCTTTTACCATCTTGTCAGCAATTACATATGACAGGATTTGAAATCTTAAGCTTAGGTATCCAGATTCTAGTCTTTCGCTTGGTCTCTTTCTGGGCCTGAATTGCCATCAAAGAAGCACATTAAGTAGATTAATGAGTCAGTTCAACCCCAAATTCTGTGACCTAACAATGTTGCATAAATATGGAGGACAGAGGATTATACCACTCTGAACGGCACCACAAGGAGGACACAGCAAGATTCAGAATATGGGAAACTCACAGGATGAATGACCTTCTCTCTGCAACAAATAAATTGCAGACATGGTAGAGAAAACAGGATTGACATAAATTAGGAAATTTAAAAGGTGTATTAAAGGGGCTAGAGGTGTAGTTCAGTGATACAGCACTTGTCTAGAGCCCATGAGACTCTGGGTCTGATTGTACCACTCCATTCCTCCTCCCCAAAAAGAGAGAGATTAACCAAATGTATTGTAATTCAAACAAATGAACTTTAAGAACAAACTTTTTTTGTTTTTTTGTTTTTTTGGGGGGGGGTCCGGTCATGGGGCCTGAACTCTGGGCCTGGGCGCTGTCCCTCAGCTCTTTAGCTCAAGGCTAGCGCTCTTCCACTTGAGCCACAGCGCCACTTCCGGCTTTTTTCTTTTGCCTAAGGGGTGCTGAGGAATCGAACCCAGGGCCTCTGGCATGCAAGGCATGCGCTCTACCACTGAGCCACCTTCCCAGCCCCTTAAGAACAAATTTATAAGACACATGAAACTCTGATAAGTAATTAATCCTTGATATTAAGTATTATTACTAATATTTTAAGGTATGCAGTGGTATTGTGCTTATGTTTTAAATAATCATCTATATATACTGTAAGATTTGTCAATATATGTACACTGAAAGAAAATTATATAATATCCAATAATTGCTTCAAACTAATATGTGAGGGAAGGAGAATTGGAGGAATGTTGAAATGACATAGAGTTGATCATAGTTGACATTAGATAATAGATACATTATTAGTTTGCCTACTTTTCCATATTAAAATTTTCCATAGTAAAACACTTATTTAAGTATATAAAGACTTTCAATGTAGATAAATAAGCAATATATACCTTGCTTAGAAAATCAGGATCTAATGTGTTGGGAACTTGGAGAGAAGGGACAATGACAAGGGTATTAATTGGGAGATGTTATATACATGTGTGAAACTGTCACAATGGAACCCCCTACTCCTTTTTTTTTTTCTTTTTGTCGGTCGTGGGGCTTGAACTCAGGGCTTGGGCGCTATCCCTCAGCTCTTCAGCTCAAGGAGAGCGTTCTACCACTTGAGCCACAGCACCACTTCCAGTTTTCTAGTGCTTTATTGGAGATAAGAGTCTCACAGACTGACTTTGAACCGTAATCCTCAGATCTCAGCCTCCTGAGTAGCTAGGATTATAGGTGTGAGCTACCAGCACCCAGCTTCCCCCTACTCTTTGTACAATTAATGAATGCTCATAAAAATATTTAAAATAAAACTATGATCTAGGTGAGATTCTGAAGAGGAATACCCAGCAGAACCTGCTGCATAGATAGATCATCATCCCTTCATCCTCTGGATGAGGACTATACATATATACTGTGTACCCCAAATTTCATGGAGTTGTCTAGAAAAATGTTTTTCTGATAAATGTTAGTGTTGCATACACTGAATTGAACAATCTAGAATTTGAGCTCCAGCTCTGCCACTAGCTGAATAACTCAATAAACTAATTTAATCTCTCCAAATTTTAAATTCTTAATTTGTACAACTAAGCTAATAATATCCTCCTCCAAGAATTTCTGGTTACAAGGTAAAGGCATAGATGCTAAAGAAACCATAATGACAGGAAACATGTGTCCACTTTCTTGAGTGGATAGCTAACTAGACTAATATTTCCAAAAATGTGTTCTAGAAAATAGTTGTTTCATGAGGTGTTAATAAAAATTTCCTATAAAACACATTCCATGGATTGCAGGTTACCTAAAGAAAAAAATTCTTAGAATATACTTTTCAAAGAAATTAATCTATTAATATACACTAAGAGTCATTAAAAGATCATTAACCAGGGGTTGGGAAGGTGGCTCAGTGGTAGATTCCTTGCCTCACATGCATGAGGCCCTGGGTTCGATTCCTCAGCACCACATAAGCAGAAAATAGCTGGAAGTGGTGCTATGGCTCAAGTGGTAGAGCGCTAGCCTTGAGCCGAAGAGCTGAGGGACAGCGCCCAGGCCCAGAGTTCAGGCCCCATGACCAACAAAAAAATAAAGAAAAAAAGATCATTAAACCACATTTCCCACATTAACTTGACTCCTTTCTTCATGAAGTTTCTAGTAGGAATACTAGTATACTTTGAGAAACAATACCACAGACTTAAAAAAATTAAATAATTGCCATACTTGAAAGTGAAAATTCGAACTGTTTCAACACTGTCCGCTCCAGTGCTAAATGTTTTAAATTTTAACATACTGATTTTTCCTTCTCTATACAGGAACTTTAGAAAGAAGCTGCCACCTATTCTTGGCGTTAGCACACAGTTTCATGCATGGTGGCATATTTTAACAGGACTTGGTTCTTATCTCCACATCCTTTTCAGGTAGGAAATACAGACCATTTTTAACCTAGTATTGAAAGGGTTTTCCTTTCTTTCCATTTTGGCTCTTCAGACTGGTTGGTGTAAACATAAATGTTGGATATGGAACTGGAAACTTATTTCCAGCTTTGCCTCTGCCCCAAGTACATGGAAGCATATTTCTCGTGTCCATTTTGCCAGTTGTCCCAATGACTTGTCTTTTTTTTTTTTCTGAGCCAGGTTCCTAGCAGAAACATGCATAGCATTTACTTTTCATGTAATACCTTTGTGCTTTGACTAATTTCTTTCTGCCTTGACTAATTTCTCATTGATACTTGATGGTCTTAAAGAGCACAGACTTTGGTTATATAGAATGGCCCTAAACTTAATCTTTAATGTTGCTCATGGCCCAGACCTAAGCCATGAATTATTGGCTCAAAAGAGTTTTCTTCTTTCTGCAAATATCTCTCTGAACTGATTGCACTTTTCTCCTGGTGTCCTCCCAGTAGAGTCTGATGAAGGTCAGCCCTTTACAGCAAAAATGGGCTGTGAGCTGTTCACAATATCATTGTGATTTAGAGAGAGAGAGAGAGCTCTTAATTTGTGGCAGTATACACTGGAGTATTCAGGGATAATGGAGTATCATTTTAGATAAAGACTTCAGAATAGTTATAGTTATATTGTTGTATTGCATAGTTATATAGTTAATAGTTATATATGTATATATGTGTACATGCATGTATTTATGTGCATTTGTATGTGAAGGTGTGGTGGGATGGTATGATTGAATGAATCATACCATGGTTCATGGTTAAATGGTAAATCTGAATGGAAGGGATATAGGACTTCACCACACCAATCTTGCCATTTTTTTCTGTAAGTTTGAGACTACTTTTAAATTCCAAAAAGAAAAAAAAATGTATTTTTGAGATAATTGTAGTAAATGAGCAAATAAAAACCGTCTACCTGAGACTCAGTGAAATGTCCTCTAAAATAATGACATATCCATTTTTCTGAAAAAAGAGCTTAATAGATATGTATGCTTGTAAAGACATGAATTCTGTAAGAGTATGTGGACCAATAGTAGCAGTACTTATTTCTGGACTAAGAAACTAGGAACTGGAGGTCAGGGATATACATGGTGGCACATGCATATAATCATGGCACTTGGGAGGCAGAGGCAGGAGAAGTCTGTGCTGGCCTGTGATCCATAGCAGATCCTATTTCAAAAAGACAAGAGCTGGGGATGTAGCTTAGCGGTGGAGTGCCCTGGATTCAATCCCAACCACAAGAATGGAAGGGTAGGAGGGAAGAAATTTCCTTTTTACTGTATACTCCTTTGTATTTTTGTTTTTGTCAAGTTACTTATATTACCTGTTAAAATATATTAAATAATAGAATTTTTTTTTATAAACTGAGCAAATATTTTGAAAATTCCTTCTGTATTCTTCAGACTGGAGTAGAAATGATATGACTACATATTCTTGGTAGTGTAAATTAATGAAAGCCTTTGAGGGAGACACTACTGGAGCTCAAAATGGTCTTGCACTTATTGAGCTCACTCAGATGGTTCTGAACCACTTGAGCCATGCCTCCAGCCTGACTTTTGTTGGTTATTTTGGAGATAGGGTCTCAGACTTTTCTGCCTGGGCTGGCTTTGAAACATGATACTCAATCTCAGCCTTTTGAATATCAAGAATTTTAGGTATAAGCCACCAGCATCATGCCAGTGCAGCCCTTTCCAGAATTTTTTTTTTTTGGCTATCCTAAGATTTGAACACAGGATGTCACTCTTCTAAGAACGTGCTCAAACACTTGAGTCAAAACTTTACCCCTCAAAATTTGATGTGTTCATAAAGACAAAATATTGTGCTGAAGATAATAGAGTGCTTGCCTATCATGAAGCTCTAAGTTCAACTTTCAGAACTTCCAATAAAGTATTGACAATTTTATCACAATTACTATATTCCTAGGAATTTACCCAAGAAAAATTAAATTTACCAAGAAATTAAAAATTTGCCAAGAAAAAGCATTCTTATCATAATGTTAAATAAAAGAGTTCTTATCCTATTGGGCATTTTTGGGGGGGAGGGGGCTGGGGGTTTTGTTGTTGTTGTTGTTGTTGTTTTGCAAGTCCAGGGGCTTTAACTTAGGGTTTGGGCACTGTCCCTGAACTTCTTTTTTTGCTCAAGTCTAGCACTCTACCACTTGAGCCACAGTGCCACTTCTGGCTTTTTCTATTTATGTGGTACTAAGGAATTAAACCCAGGGATTCATGCATGCTAGACAAGCACTCTACCACTAAGCCACATTTTCAGCCCCCCATTGTTACTTAATGTAGCAAAACAGTAAGAATAAAGACAAAATGGACTGCTCAGTAAAGGGAAAAAAATCTTAAAATAAGTTATATTCTTTATAACTTTTATATTCTTGGAAACTTTACAGCAGCATGGAAAAATACTCTGATTTTTTATCAAAATAATTAAATAAAAGATTTGTCAACATATTTAAAACTGTAGAAAATTGACTTGCATGTGAAAAAGTGAACACACAAAAACAAAAGCAAAACAAAAGATTTGGTGGCATTTTTTATTATTAATGTTTAAATGTTTTACTGTCATTTTTAGAAGGAGACAGAGAAGAACAGAATGTTTTTTAGAGATGTTTTACCCTAAGTAAAATAAAAGAAATATAGATGTTTATACTTCAGTTATATGGAAATTTGTGGTCTATAAGTACTTCAATGAATGGGAATGGAATAGAAAATGTCAATGGATTATTTGAGAGTTTAATGATATAACATGTGTTATAAATATATAAATAAATATTCCGGTGTTTGTTTCAAAGAGTTGACACAGAAGACTAAAAATATCTGAGCTCAGTACATCCTGAACTACATAGTGAAAACATGTCCTAAACAAAATAAGATAATGAAAATCTGAGTTCAAGCCTGTTGTGGGTGAGGCTATGGCAGGAAGATAAAGAAGTCAAGGCTAGCCTGGCCTACATAGCAAGTTTAAAATGAGCGTGAAATATATGGTGAAACTGTCTCAAATATGTATGCGAAACTGGGTTCACACCTGCAATCCTACGTACTCAGGAAGCTGAGATCTGAGAATCAGGGTTCAGAGCCAGCCCATGTAGAAAAGTCTGAGAGATTCTTATTTCCAAATAACCAACTGCAGGTAGAAGCATATTTCAAGTGCCAGCTATGAACAGAAAAAGCTGAGTAACCTGTACATCTTCAGGTCCAAGTGAAAAAAAGTCAGTGCTTTTAGTAAAAGCAGCCACTAGATGCAGCTCCATCATTTCATAATTGTGTGACACACTTGAGCCAAATTAGTTACTTGGCTCTGTGCCTCAATTTCCTAATGTATTCAATAGATGGTTGAAATTATTAAATTGAACAGGACCTAGTACCAGTACTAGGGGGGAAAGTTTGTGTTTGTATTTGTGTGTGAGAGAGAAACGAAGACAGAAAGAGAGTTCAGATCATGACTCTATTACCATATCCTAGACTGTGGGTAGGACTAAATTTGAAAAGTATCAATAAACCAGATCACCAGCCTCTTTCCTCAAAATTCAAATAGGAAAAAAAGTAATGGCAAAAAAAGAGCAAGAAAAAATATTATTTGGTATAGAAAGTACCACGGGAACCAAGTGTCCTCAACACTATCTTTGGGGATGCTGACAGAGCATAGTTAGGCAGCCTTGATCAAACTATGGTCACTATCCCTGAATAGATAGCCAAGCAGAGCCTAGGTGGCTATACTAAGAAAGTTGCACTTGCATAGAGGCAGTAGGGCTGGATAGTTTCTAATTACAAGGTGTCCTTTGATCAGATGTGTTGAGCAGACCTGTTTCTGGAATGAAGGTGACCAGAGTAGAGAATGACAAAAGAGAAAGGACAAGTCAGAACAGCAAGGTGGAGTTAGTTAAGCAATGACTGGAAACCTTTAGGCACTACTCCAGTGCTCTGGAACAGACATTATAACTATTGATTATACTGTCTCTGTAAATTGCAAAAATGCCATATCTATGGAAAGAGCTGGGGTTGTGGGTAAAGGTTGTACAAATACTTGTTGGCATCTGTTCTTGGGGAGGGAGAGGTTTAGGGAGAAGTCTTTGTCAATAACCCATTTTACACACACACACACACAGACACACACACACACACACACTATATCTACTAGTACTTTGGTACCATTCCTGAAGTGGGGGCAGAGTGTCAACTCTACATAAATACTGAAGCAAAATTTAAGGTGTCAAAGGAAACAGCTGCAAAATTCATTTTTACTTTGTAGAGAAGCCAAGCATTTTCCTATTGTACATCTGCAGGTCCAAGTGAAAAAACAGTCCATGCTTTTTAGTAAAAGCAGCCACTAAGTGCAGCTCCATCATTTCATAATTGTGTGAACACACGTGAGCCAAATTAGTTACTTGGCTCTGCGCCTCCATTTCCTAATGTATTCAATATTCAGTAGATGGTTGAAATGATTAAATTGAACAGGACCTACTTTATTTCAGAGATCTCATTATATATCCTAGGCTGTCCTGGAACTGGCAGTGTAGCCCAGGCTGGCCTCCAAATCATACTCTTTTTGCCACCAGCTCCCAAGTGCTGGGATTACAGACATGCAGCACCACACCAAGCTTCAGCACTTAACTTTTGAAATAATATCAGCCAATACAAAAACATTTTCTGCAGTAAACATTTTTTTTAGTTTTTAAGTTTTTGGATAACATACTTAAGAGTATCAATGATTAGTCAGGTTAAATGAAACTTAAGTCAAAACCTAAGAGAGAGCAAGTATCAAAAAAAAGCAAGTATTCAAAAAATAACACCAAAATAATGACTTTTTACAGTTGCAGTTTTAAGTACAGTAAACTACATCATAGTCACATTAAATTACTCAAATTTGCTGAGCTCAAAATTGCTGAGCACACATCTATAATCTTGGCAATCAGGAAGCAAAGGCTGCATAAGACCCTGTCTCAAAAGGACAAAAAGAAAATTACCCCTATCCAACTACTCTCTGATCTTTACTTTCTTAGTTGAAATGCTATATATGTTTTATATTTGTATTCATGACATTTGTTACTATTCAAATACATTTAAATAATGTACTATACATTAAACTGTATGTGCTGCATATTATAGATAGTACAATAAATTCTTCAGAGGTAAATTCATCTGTGCTTTGCTTTCTGCATTGAATTTAGGATAATCTTATCTCTAGTGGTAATTCGCGTTGAAGGAGACTGAGGACATTTCCCATTACTTTTCTGGGTTTCTCATACCTGTATTTATTTCCTGCTACTATGTATCTCTAACAATACAACAACCATTGTGAAATAAACCATATCAAGCATTAGTGGGTTACTCAAAACTAAAGTACAACATCTGAGGTCTATGAGTTTGTCTTTCTGTCTTCTTAAAACATCTTGCCTAGTGTTATATAAGATAGGTACCCAAAAATATGCTTGGTAATGACAAAGGTCAAATATCCAGAATATACAAGGAACTCAAGAAACTTGGGGCTGGGAAGGTGGCTCAGTGGTAGAGGCTTGCCTTGCATGCATGAGGCCCTGGGTTCGATTCCTCAGCACCACATAAGCAGAAAAGGCCGGAAGTGGCACTGTGGCTCAAGTGGTAGAGTGCTAGCCTTGAGCTGAAGAGCTGAGGGACAGTGCCCAGGCCCAGAGTTCAGGCCCCATGACCGGACCCCCCTCCAAAAAAAAGGAAACTACACCCACTCCAAATTAACAACCCAATTAATAAATGGGCAAAGGAACTAAATAGAGATTGCTCAGAAGAAGTAAGAATGGCAAGTAAACATGAGGAAATGCTCAACATCCCTGACCATAATGGAAATGAACATCAAAACAACATTGAAATTCTATCTCACTCCAGTAAGATTGGCCAGCATCAAGAATATGAACAATAACAAATGCTAGTGGGGATGCCGAGTAGAAGGAACCCTATTACACTGTTGGTGGGAATGTGAACTAGTACAACCACTCTGGAAGGCAGTTTGGAGATTCCTCAAAAAAAAAAAAAAAAAAACTGAACCAGCCTTACTCTTGGTCATCTACCCAGGGTATTACAAGTCACGATATGGTAAAGACACTTGTGTATCCATATTTATTGCTGCAGTATTCACAATAGCCAAGTTATGGAAGCAACCCTGATGACCTACAATGGATAAGCGGATCAAGAAAATGTGGTACATATATACAATGGAATTTAACTCATCTATTAGAATAATATTAGGTCATTTGTAGGGAAATGGATGGACCTAGAAAAAATCATGTTAAGTGAAAAAATCATGTTAAGAGAGACAAACAGCTCATATTTTCTCTCATGTGTGGAAGCTAGATCTAAAATACAAATGCACATAATAACATATACAGGTCTCTATGCATATACATACAAACTGAATAAGGATGATATATTTACCATACTTAAGGGAGGAATCCAAAGGCGTAACTCCTCTGAACAGCTAAAGTTTTGTACAAAGTGAACACCAGGAAGTGGAAACGTGTTTTAGGGGGTAGGCAAAGGGAAGAGGCGCAGGAATGGAGCAGGAAAGGGTGAGCAAATGCAGCCAGTATATTCAATGTATACTCTGTAAAAGTTGAACTATGTAACTTGAGGGTAGGTATGGGAGTGGGAGGAAAGATGGGCAAAATGATGGGAAAGATGACATTGATCAAGAAATAAAACCTCACTTATGGAATAGAAACCTCTTCATACAACTACTTAATAATAATTTTTTTTTGGTCGGTCATGGGACTTGAACTCTGGGCCTGGATGCTGTCCCTGAGCTCTTCAGCTCAAGGCCAGCACTCTACCACTTGAGCCACAACGCCACTTCCAGTTTTTTGTTTGGTTTATTGGAGATAAAAAGTCTCATGGACTTTTCCTTCCTGGGCTGGCTTTGAACCTCAATCCTCAGATCTCAGCCTCCTGAGTAGCTAGGATTACCGGTGTGAGCCACCAGGCTTAAATCACATTACTAAACCTCACAAACTTCCTATGAATGAACAAAACACATGCCAATATTGTTTTTTTTAACTTTGCATATACAAAGGCATGGTTAGACTTGTTGGTAAGCCAGTTTTTATGGATTAAAAATTAATCTAAAGAGCTTCTTCCTGCTTCTTTTTCTTTCAGTTTATATACAAGAACACTTTACCTGAGATATAGGCCAAAAGTAAAGGTAAGTCTATATCCTGGGGTGGGGGTGGCGAGTGATAGGTGTGTATGTGTATGTGTATGTGTGGTGTGTGTGAGTGTGTATTGACAGGCAAATATGGGGAAGATGGGATGGATGTAGGAGATAAAAGGGGGGGCATAGAGTGTTAGTGCTGTCAGCATAGGCTTTGGAACAAGAAGATAAAAATCTTCCATTTACTACTAAATTATCTTGGATACATCTCTTTAAGCCTGAGATACTTCAACAATAGAATGGAGCTGTTTATAGCTATATTATAGAGTTGCTTTGAGGATTACAATTTTAATGCCCACTTCCATGCTTGACAAAGTAGATCTCTGATACATTTAAATCAGTTAAGTGAAAATAACTTCTGAGATGTGGTACAAATCTGGAAGGAATGTGCTGTACCCAGACTACTGATAATACCAGGACAGTCACTAGCAAACCTACCAACACTCTAGGCACTGCCCCATGGATTTTTTTCTCATCCCTTTCCAGGCATAGGACAATCATCTTCTCTTATTTTATCCTTATTGTCACAGTTTCTCTTCGGAATATGGCCAATGATTGTGCTTGAGCATCTCAGGAATCACTGATGAATTATTTTACCAAGGGGAAAAAATGCCACCTCCCATACATAGTCCTGGAAGGATATATAAGAAAGTCCAGAAGACCTACACACTCAGATACATCGTGACCATCATCGCAACAGAGGAGAGACTTTGTAACTAATGCTGCCAGCCCCATGGAGAATGAGGAATGTGCCTGATGGGTGATCAGCTCCTAGCTTTAGCTCATTTTTCCTCATCTTCATCCTAAGATGTTTATAAAGAAACAAATATGATGTGTGATATTCAAGAATGCCTGGGAAATTTGGCTTTTCTTAACAGCAGTCTTTGGAAATTAATCTTTTTCTCTCTCTCTCTCTTTTTTTCTTACAAGGGTTGCATGTGAGCTATAACTTTCTTAATATTCAATTAATGAAAACAGCTATCAAGGACTGGCAAACTCCCATATCTGGATGCCAGCACTTAGCTGCATCAGCCTTGATTTATACTGTTGTCATATTAACCATTAACCTCATAGATAGTTTTCCAGTAAGTTTTTTTAAAAGAGCTAATTGTGGAATTCTAGGCATTTCTTCTCTGTCCTGGTGCCTGTTGAAGTTACATAGCAAACTCTGGCCTGCCACTGGATTCTATTCTTTTCAATTCCCAGCATTTACTGTAGGCTCCAGTCTGTGTGGCAACACAGCCAGAGTGGATGGATTATCTAGTATCTTTTCTCAAGCTCCACAGACTGTCCCTCCAGTCAGCATTCTGTAAATTCTGGCTGCTTTGTAAAGATCTTTTAAGTTGTCTATGTTTTTATGGCTAGGCCAATATTATTGGTGATCTAGCCTACTCACATCCCATCCTTCTTAGTTAACTTGAAGTTATCAGAGAATATCATAAAACGCTGACTTTTTTACATTTTGGGATATTTACCTGTTCTCAGAGAGGTCATAGTTATTCCTAGGGAAGTATGTCAGGTTAACTAGATGAAATGGTCAGGATCTAAAGCTTTATTACATAAAACTCATTAAAATACCTCCTCCTCCATTTTTTGAGGGAAATATATATATATATATATATATATATATATATATATAGAAATAGCTCAGACTTATAACATATATCTAAAAGTTACAATGCTAAGAAACATCAGTGCTTTGAATGTTTAGGAAATTCAATCACTTATCAAACAAAAAGACATTCACTGCTTACATCTTGAGCTACAGCTTCAAAAGGAAAAAGTTACAAAAGTTGATAATGTATTTCATTTTTACAATATTCAGTAAGTAGCCCTAGTAAATGAAAGGGAAAAAAATGTTTCCTTCACCTGTTAGCCTTAGTTTTAGTCCAAGTCCTATTTTCCTGCACTTAACATCCCAACATCCAACAGGTATTTCCACCTGCTTTTATATTTTTAAAAACCACTTGCCAAAACAAATCTAACAGAACTTTGGATGTGCTTAGGAGAAAATAAAACCAAACAGTTCCAATGTACTCCATAAAAATGCTTTTTTTTAATGGAAAATTCTAACTTCATATATTGCTACATTCACTTGCAACTACTTTGGACTGTCACTTTTTAATGAATGTTTTGTTTGGTTTTTGTTGATCATGGGGCTTGAAGTCAGGTTCTATCTCTGAACTTTCTGTTCAATTCTAGTGTTCTACAACTTTGAGCCACAGCTCTACTCACTTGCAGTTTTCTCGTGATTAGAAATAAGAGCCTAACACACATTCCTCTCTGGGCTGGCTTTGAACCAAGATCCTCAGATCTCAGCCTCCTGAGTAGCTAGGATTATAGATGTGTGCCATCAGCACCCAGCTGAATTTATTTTTGTAACATTCAGTCAAATATTCCTTACAAAAAAATTCTGTATTGGGCATTGGAGACACGGTTCAAGTAGTACAACACCTGCCTAGCAAGCATGAAGCCTTGAGTTTAAACCTCAGTACTGAGGGGAAAAAATTATATAGGAACAAAGGATTTGCTCATAGGAACAAGGAATTTCTGTATAGGAACAAAGACACAACTTTCCTGACAATGCTGCAACATGGTAAAACAGAAGTTGTGCAGGATAGAGGTCAGGTTACTGGCACTGAGAGCACACCCCAAGACTGCCATTTAGAGCAGTTTGTTCAATGTGCCATTCACTCACCACCACCAGTGGTTACTTTTTCAGTAAACTGCCCCACACCTCACTGGAGAGCTATGGGCATCTCTGGATAGCTATATCTTAAAGACCTTTATGTCAGTTGTAAAGCCAGGACTACAGTAAAGCCTAGAATAAAACAATTTATATGTGTTCAATGAAAACTGAAATCTTTACATTTCCAGGACCATTGTACCTGACATTGTGGCCCTTCTAATTAGCACAAAATAACATATTGAAAACTTTGTTTCTGTGCCCAATGTGTGAAATCACTGATGATCTATAAACTATTGCTAATTTGCCTTTATTTCAATGGCTTTCTTTTTTAACTTCTTGGATTCTGAGTGGATTTTACAGAGTTAGATGTCTATTTACCTCCCTCCTCTTCATTTGCATAGAAAACTTCCTCTTAGCTAGAATATAGCAAAAGTCTGTTTCCTACTGAGCAAGTAGTAATTTGTAAGTTACCTGATGTGCTTACCTTAGCATCAAGTGACTGATGTAAAGAGTGTGAGCCTGGAACAAATTCCATTTTATAAAACATTAATACTTTAGGACTTTGTGCAAGAAGCAGTTTCCTCACCTTTGAATATACGCATGCTGCCATTTCCACTTTGGAAACTAAAAGCAATTTGCTGTTTTTGATTTTTTGGTTTTTTTTTAAGTAAAAACTAGGCAAAAGTGTTTGTCTTAATCTGATTAATCAGTTTTTCCCATACCTCCAACATGAGCTTTCCTAAAACATCCCACCTGCTGAAGAGATATCTTACCTTTATGATATACTGATCAGCTGGAGGGATTTCAAATAGTAGATAGAGATATTATGATTTAACCAAAAATGCAAAATCCTAGAATAATCTGGGTGTTATTTACAGAGTTTTTCTTATACTGGGAAGAGAAGGTATGACTCAGACAAAATTGAGAACCAGTACCTAGGGCATGAAAATCTCTGAATGCTTATAAAAGTAAATCCTGTTATACAAGTATGTTCTGAATTTAATTAATATCCCTAAAGGGTCTAATAATGTAAGTTTCTCTTCTGAGTCCTATGAGTTCCACATTGTTTTGCTCTTAAAAGCAATTTCTCAATTGTTGCTAAATATGATGTTTTCAGCTTCCAATTCCACTTTATAAGATAGGAAGTTCTTTTGGCCTGTGGAGTATGATATGCTACTGGATAAGCATTTGTGTAAAACATGTTTCTTGTTTTTTATTGTAAAAATACTGTACAGAAGGGTTACAGTTACATGAGCAAGGTAATGAGTCCATTTCCTATCAAGCATTGTTACCTCCTCCTTTGTTTTTCCCCTACCATCCCTTCCCTCCCCAACCTAAATTGTAAAGTTTGTTTTTCAACATAGTGTCTTGTGCATCTCATTGTTGCAGTGAGTCAACCTGTATCCCTATTTAAGCATTTTGTTAAAACTTAAATGTTTCAAAGAGAACATTTTAACCCGAATTGACAGTTTTGTAGCTATTTACAGATCTACTTCTGTCTTATATTTTACATCATTCAAAGAAAGGTATTATATAATTAGTTTGATATGTCTTGTGTTTCATGTCTGAGGATTACAGCCTTTTCACTGTTGTGACCATTTGCAACTAAATAAGGAAAGAGCTGTAAAGTGATTTGAAAAAACAAACATGATTCATGTAATAGGAAACTGCAGTCCTGCTTTTTAAACTTGTACTTCCTTTAAGAAGGATGATTTGGAGGGAAGGCTAACATCATTTCCTTGATTTTTTTTTTCAATCATGTATTCAAATTCTGACATTTGAACCCAAGGCCTCACATACACTTGCATACTTGCTATAACGTTTTTGAGATGAGGTCTCAGATCCTCCTGGTGTCCCAAGTAGCTAGGATTAAAGGTGTGACCCACCACTGGCTCTTTTTTCCATTGGGGAGATGGCAGTGGTGGGAGAACCGGAGTTGCTGGTGTTGCTGAGAACCTGTATGATTGTGCTTAACTGGACTTAAACCTTGTCTCCAAAACTATCAGTTCAGTCAGCTTCATATCCACACAGGATACTACTTCCCTGAAGATAAAACTCTGGCCTTGGACTATAAACCTTTGCCTGAAACTTTTAACAATGTTGAAAGAAAAGTAAGGATTAAAAGAGAGACCAGCACAAGGCAAGTCTTTTGTTGGATAGGCAGTATTCTTAGCTACCCAATTTCTAATACAATGCAAATGTCCAATGTTTCTCAGAGTCTTCATTTATAATTAAATCCAACAAATTACTACCTGTTCAGGTTGGCCGCTAGTGTAGAAAAGATTGATCATCATATTCCATACTGGAAAATCCTTAAGTCCAAATCAAGGAATTCACTTACAGGACTGTAAGTGACTTTACATCCTCTCACTCTGTTAGCTTAGCTGCTGTCATTGTTGTTGAGCCAACAACAGGTTGCACTGCACAGCTTGGCTCATGGTGATCTGCCCCGTTGCTTTAAAGAGCACACTGTTTATACTTGAACTAGATTGACTCATTGGTAACTTGAATATTCACAAAATTGTCATAAAGTTTCTGAAACTTCTGTTAATGTTAGATCATCAAGTTTAAATTGAGTTTGCAGAATTTATTCTAAGGATGCCACAGAGCACCTTTATTAGAGAAAATTTTAAGCACATATAGTTCTCTGTAAAAATACAGAGATCAAAGCCGGGCACCAGTGGCTCACACCTGTAATCCTAGCTACTCAGGAGGCTGAGATCTGAGGATCAAGATTCAAAGCCAGCCCAGGCAGGAAACAATGAAGTGGCACTGTAGCTCAAGTGGTAGAGTGCTCACCTTGAGCTGAAAAGCTGAGGGACAGCGTCCAGGCCCAGAGTTCAAGCCCCATGACCAACAAAAAAAATAAATAAAAATAAAAATACAGAGATCATTTGCAACCTAAAAGGAAAGGCTTTTTTTTTATTATTACACTATCAAAGAGCTCCAGCCCAGAGGTTGGCAAACTGTAGTCCACAGGCCAAATCCAGTTTTCAGAAGTTTGGCTGTATTTACTTTTTAAAGCATGGTTGAAACAATAATATAAGGTCTGGGAATATAGCTCCATGATAGAGTGCTTGCCTAGCATGTGCTAATGCCCTGGGTTCTATCCTCAGAATCACTAGGGAGGGGGAAGAAATGTGGGACTGAAACTGAATAGTCTCAAACTCTGGCTCCTGGAGTTTGCTTCACTGGCTCTAGACCCCATCAAATGAGAGTTGTGGAATGTGGAAGTACAGCAGGCCTGCTTTACTTTACATCTCTGTGTATTTCCTTCCTTCCTTCCTTCCTTTCTTTTTTCTTTTAATATGTGCCAGTCCTAGGGCTTTTTTGCTCAAGGCTAGTGAGCCACAGCTCTACTTTTGCTTTTTTGGGGATGGGGGTAGTTAATTGGAGATAACAGTCTCACTTTCCCTTCCAGAATACCTTCAAACTGTGATCCTCAGATCTCGGCCTCTTGAGTAGCTAGGATTCAGGCATGAGCCACCAGCACCAGACTTCTCTGTGTATTTTTCATAATGAAAATATATACTTCACACGTTCACTTTGCTGAATGTCATCATAGGACTTGTGTTTTAATATTTCATAAAATTATTTTTCACATAAATTTTATCAGATTTGGCAACAGCCTGCAGTAAAGTGCCTAAACCCCTGAGAAATTTACTATGAGTAAGGTCCATGATTTTATTGTTATAGTTAACAAAGGAAACCTATCCTGTTCTGTAAAAATCTAGTCCTAGTTGCACTCAGCTTTTGAGTTGATACAGAAAGTTGAGGTCTTCTGACTATTTTTCCTTACATCACCTAAAACAACACTGTAAGCTAGTTGTCAAAGCCAAATAAGCTGAACAGGCATACACACACACACACACACACAAACACACACACACACACACACACACACACACACATACATATATATATATATATATATATATATACATATATATATATATATATATTGCTTCTCTTATTTTCTAAAAGGAAAAAGGTCAATGTTCTTTCCACAGTGTCCTTTTCTGGTTTCTTTTTACCTCTTCTTTTTAGAGCTAAGTCATTCTTACAAATGAAAAAAATCTATTCTAAAAGACAGCAGCAGGCTGGGATGTGGCTCAGTGCAAAGCACTTGCCTAGCAAGTGCAATGCCCTGGGTTGGATCCCTAGAACCCCAAAAGAAAACAAACAAAAAACACAGTTTAAAAAAGCCCAAAATAAAAAATAGCAACTACAATCAGTTTTTATTTAGCATACTGATTGGGTGTGGGTTACTCTCAAGCAGTTCCACGCTTTTAATATATCAGAGTCAGTTATCAGTGTGACTAACAGATAATGTTTTCAAGCCAATAGAACATTTACTAGTTTATCTGTTACAACTATATGTTCTACAAGCAGTTATTTAATAAACATACAGATTGTATTGAATCTCTACAAGGAACCATTTTCAGGTAATCTTGTCTGTTTAATCACCTTTTCCATTTGATTTGCCAAACCACTATTGTTTTTT